TGTAAAGCGTGGAGACCGACGTATCGTTGCTGTAACTCAGGGGACCATTGCTCGCGACGCAACCAATCTTATCATTCCTACTATTCATGCCCTCTCTGATCGTGATGACCTCCTCGTGGTAGCAATCCTCGGGCAAGGGGGCGCTTTTCTCCCTGACGACATCACTATTCCTCCCAACACCCGCGTCATCGATTACCTCCCCTACGACGCTCTCCTGCCTCATGCTTCAGTGTTTGTCATGAATGCTGGATATGGTGGCTTTCTTCATGGGGTAACTAACGGTGTTCCTTTGGTTCTTGCAGGTGAGACTGAGGACAAACCAGAGATTGCAATGCGCGGAGAGTGGTGTGGTGTTGCGGTCAACTTGAGAACGGGCAGGCCTACACCTGATATGGTACGGTCAGGTGTCGAGCGTATTTTGGCAGATGATAGCTTCAAGAAGAGGGTTGATGAGATCAAGGCCGAGAATGAAGCAATGAAATTCTTTGACTTTATCGAGGAGCGGGTTCTCTCTGTTGAAAGTTTGGAGGCATGATTTACTTTGACACATGATAGTCTTGGTATCACTCATAATGCATTACTTCTGAAGAGCCTGAACCTATGATTGATGGCATGTGTAAGAAAAAGTCTCCGAGGGCCTCCGGTCCCTCGACTCTGTTCCTCCGTCCGGCTCCGGCTCCAGCGGGGCCGCGGTTCCTTAAATAGGCCGATTATTACGGAGCATCGCCCGGAGAGGAAAAGTCCTAACATTGGATCGTACTTATATAAAGCAGACTTCTAATCTAGCCTCGCCGGACAAAATCCAAGGCTTGTTGATCATTCAGACCCAGAACACCTCAATCAAGGCTTGGTCATGGCAACCTCCAAGACATTGCCTCTGGCTTTCATGGATGCTCTTAGTTCAGCTGTGTCATATTTTCGGCCCGATATAACAAAAGCAATAACTCCCAAAACCGCAACTTCTGGTGATCCTCCACTCATTATCATTCTTTCGTGGTCAGAAGCTCGCGATGTTCATATAGCAAAGTACATCTCGCAGTATCGCGAGCTCTATCCAACATCTGCCATACTCCTATTCCGCGCTTCCACCAAGCTATACATTCAGCCATCCCTGCGTCGTCGCCTGTTTGAGCCTGCTTTACCAATTCTACCGTCGGTTAACACCAAGGAAGATGATGCACCCAACTTTCTCATCCATATCTTTTCCAATGGGGGTGTCAGTTCTGCTGCCACGCTTTGGGAGATATGGGAAGCTTCACTAGGTGGTAAACCAGTTCCTCGACATGCTGTCGTGATGGACTCGTGCCCTGGGTACTTCCATTGGAAACGAGATCACCATGTGCTTTCAACCGGGCTTCCGCCATTTTTATCTCCCCTCGTTTGGATATTTCTGGGTTTTGCATGGGTGTACTACAAACTATGGTTAGGTGTGGAACCGCATACTGCCTATGCCTCGGCTCTCAATACGCCTGAGAGAATCAGCCGGGAGACTATGCGGGCATACCTTTACGGAGATGCAGACCTCTCAGTTGGTTGGGAGGATGTTGAATCACATGCTCAACAAGCAAAGGATAATGGCGCTGTAGTCAGAACAGAGAAATTCGCTGGAGGTGCCCATGTCGCTCATGTCAGAGTTGATGCTGATAGATACTGGAAGGCTGTCCGAGAGACTTGGCAAGGGAAAAAGCTTTAGATTAGATGTTCATTCTTGTGTATGAATATAATAGACATTATTGAGTCCATAGATAGATATATTGCATTCGTTCAGTATAGTTGCGTTGCCTCCAAGATTCTGAAAGTCCCTGTTCATTATTCATTACCACGGTTTCTTCCTTTTCCACGATCGTTGGTGTATATATCGACCGTAGATAGTTCAGTAGAAGATCAGCCTGTCTGTCCCATTATGTCTGGTTCCCGAAAGAAAGCCAGGCACCGTTAAGTGTACGCATTGTTCAAGTCCTCTGTTTCTTAGAGGCATCGCTGGATTCTCCTCGCTCCCCGGCTGCTCTCTTGCCGAGGCTGCTTTGTCTTTGTGTTTGTGATGTCTGTTGAAATGGTATTATGTGACTGTCATCCAAGCCTCCGATGCCCTCATCTTCCTCATGACATACGGAGCATTCTTGGTTGAAATCGTGCTCTTCAACGAGGATACCTCGGCGACATCCTCCAAACCATCCGTTGTTCTTAGCCTCGAGGCAGGACAGCTCTTGGGTCAAGTCAACCCAAGTCTGAGGCTGGTCGCAACACGTGCAATGTCCTCTGAATATTATCATTCGGCACATGTCTATCTGTACTGAAGAATTGGCCGGTGATGCCTCAGCGATGCGTGACACGATATCACGATGGCAGGCGCAGAGACTTGTCTGAGAGTCAGTGTGCGTGCGTGTAAGTGAAGACATTTGTTGATGAGAATTACCTTGTCTTGGTGGCCCTGTTTCTTGTATTGGGAATACTCGCGATGTCTCAGTTGGGGAAGATGCCGAATACCGAATTGGTGTCTTGATCAAGCGAAGCTCTGTAACGTAAGACACGAGACGAGTGAGTGCCGAAGTGAGTAGCAAGCCACAATGCAACGTCGACGTTGGATGCCAAAGAGAAAGCCCCAGAAATTGTCGATGTTCCTTTGATGGGCAATTCGTAGGGGGGAAAAGCAATAAAACGAACTTGGCGTCGGTTGTTTGGTTCGTTGTTGATTGATAGCCACCAACAGCAAGACAGTAAAAAGGGTGGTTGTTGTGATAAGCCAGTAAACGGTCGACACCAATATGATAGATATGCCGTGCTAAAGAGAAGAAGGACAAGATCTACCGCGGGAGATGAAGAATTGAAAAGAGCCGTCCGTGCTGGCCTGGTCATGGGAGAAAGTGAGAGGACATGGTGATTTTAATATACCTTAGCTTACCTTATACATAAGAAGCTCTGATAGTGAGTGAGTGAGTGAGTGAGTGAGTGAGTGAGTGAGTGAGTGATGCGCAATGATGGACGTGCTACGGCATACACCGTCCGTGATAGTCTACTGTACAACATTCGTAATTCGACGAGGCAACGGCCAACTCTAATTACTCCTTTTTCCCTTTTTCTACACCGTTAATCAATCGTCACGCACGTCACACACAGATACGACATGATAATAAAACAGCCAGAAACGGACGTGTCTTAAACTTGGCGCTCCCAGGCCTCGAGGATCTCGCCTCTGATAGGCACGGTAAGGCAATGGTTGTCATGAAAAGTCCAAGCGATAGTTTGTTATTCAGCTGCCTCACATCAACACATCCCTTCCACTTTCATTCTCATGTTCATTTCCTGCGGGCAATAAGCTTTTCTCCAACGCTAGCTGCTAGACCTAGGCATGTCTGTACTAATGTATGTATGGTAGTTTTGCCACTAACTAGTACTATACTGTCGTAACTAGTTGGTTTCTCCGTCACTGCCATCGCCTGACAATTCCCGAGCCCTTCGCTTCTGAGTTCTAGACTCCAAGTTAGGATCCTTCCTGGTCTTGAAAGTTGACCCGTTTCGTGGGGGGTCTTTGTTCTGGAAGCTTTGTCTTCGGCAGTACCCGATAACATGCTCGCTACCTACTGTTGGACCTGGTGATAGCTTCAGATCGATATTTGGAATTGCAGAGACATACGGAGTCTTGTCGACTTGCCGAGGCGAAGGAGGCCATTCGCAAAATGCTGTCTTCCCCGAAGACCAACGCCTTGATCTTCATACACCAAAGCCATCATCATCACGCATGGCGATCCTGCTAAGCAGGGTTGGGTTCATGGCGGTGATCAAAAAGTCCCATCTCCTCGGCTCTTGTCCTGTGGAGCATCTTCAGCGTCTACGGGAAGACGTTTGCTGACGATAACCTTTCGCTACTCGGGCTGTCATCCCCAGAGTCTTTGGCGTGTTGTGCCTGGCATGAGAGGCTGAGCTAGAGCAACCTCCGGGACATTTAAATCCTATTCCATCTTGAATCAAAGATTTAGTTGAGGACATGATTCAGAATTTACGTAATTCCTGACTCCGTGAGCTCATGGTGCTGGTCTCTGGCTAAACTTTGTAGATATAATCCGCCCGCATAATCTTGATATCCAATCTCACGATAATGTGTCCCGCGTTGGGCTGCACATGTGCCGACTTCTTCGTTCTGTATTCCACTAGCCATCGTGACTGGAATTCTTGGGACCTCCAAAACCTGCTAGCTCTCCCACTATTCGTCTCAAGGCGTCATTTCAGTACCCAACCAACATTCTACGGATGGACGGTAGTTCACTAGTTCAATGCTTCTAGAAACTAATAAATGTCCGTCAGTTTCATCCAAACACTCTCTGATATTGGGTTTCACCGTTCCTGAGCTCGCATGTACCGAGTTCGAAATTGACGGCTTCATGAGGAATCTGAGTGCCTCATGGGCTTACCATCCGGCGAACTTCCTGCAGTAGACGCCCCTATCACTGAGGTGAGAAGTGTTCTCTTACCAGGGCATGTAATGCGCCCTGACCAAGACATTTCTCGTCATCTCAAGTAGTCAAGTTTCATTGCTTGATGTTCATCTGGCTCTAACTCCTGGACTTTGGGGGAGACACTGGAAAGATACAGTCCACTTTGGCCAGTGTCACCATAGGCTTTCTCTCCTCTTGAGACTCCAGAGACTGCCCAGTCACTCTTTTGCGACTACAGTATAACATACATTCTCCTTGGACTTCCGAGTTTTTCATATTGGATTCGAAATGGGGAACGTTAATGTGCATGCAAATCGCAAATCACACCCAACAAGAAGAAAGCCTGAATAAAATCGAACACGCTTTATTCTATCATATTTGCAACAAATGCATCCAGCCAAGCGCTCACCTCAACCTCTTGAAAAAATTGGTTTACCAACAAACGCCGTTACAGAGTGAATACCGCCGTCAGTCGTGGTTTCTGAGTTCTCGGAGGCGTCCCTCAATATAGCTTCTTCAAGACTTCCCAAGGGTCCTCTTGCATCACCTATGTGTTCTTTACGCGACTCATGGGTCTCTGATGGTATTGAGCCCCTCTTCTTGCTCGTTGGGGCCCTGGTGTGGTGCAGGCGCATTATCAACTGGGTGGGCATGTCCTTCAGGCGCATCCAATTCGGAGGCTTGTCCTTCAGACACCTTAAATTCAGAGGCTTCTCCTTCAGACACCTCAAGTATATACTCACGAATATGAGCCTGTAATCCCGGCGCACCTAATTCAAAGTCATGTGCTCCAGACGAAGAGGGGCTAGGGTCCGGTGAGGAGTCAAGGCTATGTGACTGGGAGTCCTTAACTGCCCCGAGGTTCCGAAATCTTTCATCACGCTCCTCAGTCGTTTCATCATACAACGAAGGTTCCGTACATGTTTCATCATCTAGCTCCAGGATTATGTCGATCGTAGTGGGCGGCCATGGTCTAATGTACGTCCTATCGCAACAAGTAAGCCTTGAGCCTGGTTTTACACTGTTGAAGTTCCCAACAGCGTCTCTTTACACCAATATACGGTAGCCGTGGCCGGGGCAGTTAACTCACGGTTGAACCGAGCCCTCAGCTATTTCGTTTGCTATCTGCTCTGCCGCTTGCGCCACTGGGAGCCTTGTTTGGAGAAACTCTTGCGAAGATGTCTCATCTTGCGTTGCGAGGCTGTATGATATTTCGGAAGTGCAGTTGTAGCACCTATCAGTTGCGATATATTGGACCATTGGCCTCATGGAACGGTGAGTGTCAAGCACGCTCTGGCAGATGATGCATCGATACTCGTGGAAGTGATTTCGGTTCTGCGGCGGGTGGTGGCGCCAATTCATGATGGAATGACAGATAAGAGTTTGGTACTAAATAGTATTATCAATGAAGCGAGTGTTATTGTTGTTGCTGAGATGATTCTTGTAGGTGGGAGCAAAGTAAAAGGTCCTTGATCTCCGCGCTTGGGGACGATCCATGGTAGGTAAAATTTCTAAGGTGCCTACCTAGTATTCGACGAATCCATCTGTAGCTCTTTCCATTTGACTTATTGATTCCAAGATGCACTTGCTTACCTCACCTACTACCCAAGCTTGCTCCATCAAGGGAGACACCGTTTCCAGAGAAACCACAACATCCATCTCTAAAATACTATCTACCTTCCCTTAAGGAGGTAGGTGGTAAAACTTCTGCCATCAAGATACTTAGGTAGGGTCACAAATTTAAGTAATTTAAAGATCTCTTGAGCAGCTTGGTGTGATATAGTAATAAGTATTCCAAAGATATGGTTCAAGGCATTTACTTCGGTTCCTCGAACCGTTCTGTAAAAGCTCCTGGTGCCTTCATAAGACCGCATGTAACTGCTTCACGGCCGTCAACCCGAAGAAACATACTAAGAATCTGTCGAGATCATAAAATCTTGATAGTTCATCCATGAGCTGAAGTACCACAGCAATGTGCTCAAGTTTAGCCTAATTAAAGAATTGATACAGAGAGTACGAGTCTAGAGGGATGCCAGGCTCTACCTAGTAATCATACTTCGAGGAGACATGGGTAGCCTTCACGACTCACTACGAAAAAAGACATGAATTGATAAACGTGAAAGTCCACGGTTGTGTAAGGCTAAATAAGTGTTACGATGGTAATACAAGGCAATGCAGACCGAAACTCCATTTCTCCAATCCAACCCACCGTCACCAAAGTATACATTCCCTTTCCTCATGACATGCAAGCGATGAGACTGTCCGGTGTTGAAACCAGACTCAAATGAAAACGTGGATGAAAGCGCAGCGAGCTAGTGCACACGGCGAATTGCTAGGCAACCCAACACGCAGCATACATGCAGAAACTAGGATACCACTTGCACGAGACAGTCGATTCATCCAATACCGTACGAGCCTGGTTGGAAAAGGGGCAACAGACAAGCGACACCACGTGCACCAAGACACTACTGGCCCAGTTCAAGTTGTGATCGTTCGTGCCGTTGAGTTGGCCGGTTCACATCTCATCTCAACGCAACTCAACTCAACTCAATCGCGCCACGACAAATAGCAAGTTTCAGGATGTATGTCATACCAAGAGATGAGCTGGCACCAGAAATCGCACATGTCATCAATGCATTAGTCGTGAGTTGTCAGTCCGCAAGCCAGTAGCAACATGATCGTGAAAGAGCCAGCAGAGGCGGTGGCAACTTCAAATGTTCGTGGAAGCATTCAGCATCGAGTCCAGGATGGCCTAAATGAATTCGAATGAGGTCGTGGCAAGACAACCATGCACGTCGCACCCGAGATTGCACCTCAATGTTAATGTTGTAAAGACAGCCCAATCAAGAGATATGTCATCAGAAAGGTTGAGTCCAAGGAGTCCTCAAAAGACGGGAAAAGAAAACGGGTGATGTACAGTCGTCGGTGGTGGCAACGGGCTATGAGTGCAGAGGCGTGTCAGGAGCGTCAAAACATTGGCATGATATCAATCAAACCACCAGATGGCACCTTCGATCCGAGGCATTGGCGGATGAGAGCTTAATCAAGATCACCCAAGCACGAGCAAGCAGGCAGACATCACTTATGCTCCGGGTGCAGGAGCACCAGAAGGGGGGGCACCTTGCCCGCCTTGCTGTTGTTGGTACATCAAGGATTGATACCACAGCGCGAGGTAGTTTTGGTAACCACCATCTATTTTGATTAGCATTCAGCAAGGGCACAAGGGCACAGCATATCAAGACTTACATTGGGCGTAGGGATCGGATCCATCAGCTGCAGTTGGTTGGGGGGGCTGATTAGTAGGGACACTAGAGCCTTGCGCTTGAGAGTAGCTGGGCCTGTCATGATCTTGATGTCCACGGCCACTGCCACTACCACCACCACCACCACCACGGGGGCCACTGCCTTTCTGGCGCTGTTCTCATGTTAGCTGCGTAAATTAAGGTCTTGGTGTTGGAATGACACTCACCACTGCATCCACCTTCTCGTCAATGGCAAGCTTAGCTCGCGCGATACTATCTCGCGAACCGATCAGGGCAATCTCCCTCTGAGTCTCGCCGGGACCAGAAGATTGAGCAACGTTGATCTTGCATCCGGTGGTGTTCTGCATCTCCCGGATCGTCTCGCCGCCCTTTCCTATGATCATACCTACCGCATCTGAAGGCACATATACAGCATCATTGATCTTGTCGGGGCCACCAGAACCTCCCGCATCCCTCTGAGAACCATCATGACGACTTCCAGGAGCTGCTCCTCCACCTCCCAACCTTTTCACAGGCGGCGGCGCGTCACCTCGACTGTCACTGTCGACAATCTCCATGATAAAATCCTTAGCGCGGGCGGCAGCTTCGCGCGTGCCGATGAGATTCACAGGCCGTAATCCGTTTACACTCTTAGATTCGCCAACGATGTTGATATGGCAGCCGGATCGCTCTTGAAGGTCACGGATAGTTTCACCTCCACGTCCAATGATCAAACCAACAGTCCTATCAGGAACCATGATCTGCATGTGGTCCTCCCCTTCGCGTAGAGCCGCAGCACCGCCCTTGTTGGGGTCGCGAGGCTTTTCGGGGCGGTTGAGGGCGCCCATTCCGCTATCGTCAATAATACGGTTAATGGCATCCTTCACTTCAGCACGACGGTGCCGGGGCCCAGAGATCTTGCACAGCCTATGCGGACCCCCGTCGGTAGCGGCCAGAAACTGGACTCGGCAGTTGGATTCAGACTCTATGCGTCTAAGATTCTCTCCTTGTCTACCGATGATGAGGCCTACAAGGCTTGAATCGATCTCAATGGTCTCCGAGTTGTCGTCACCTCCTCTCAAGGGAGACCTCTCGCGTCCATTGTTTCCCCGAGGGGAGAAGTTCCGACCACGAGGGCCTGGCGAATAAGAACGATCTCGACCATAGCCCCGGCCATGCGAACCTCTGTCGCCGCCACGTCGCTCATCTCTGTACGGATTCACACCATCGCGGAACTCATCGCGAACGGGTGATCGTGACCTTGAGCGGTTGTATCCCCGATCAGGTCCTCGTGATTCGGAGGCATAGACAAGGGGTCGATCGTAGGATGTCACGCCCTTTTCGGCGGCGTAAGCCTTGGCTTGAGCAATCGCGTCAGCAATACTCAAAGTTCCTGAGTTGACAGGTCGAATCGAGCTCAGGTCGAGGTTTCCGCTGGATGATGGGGCGGGGAGGCCATTGTAGCCAGGTGCGCCATAGCTGCTGGAGTTTGGAGGGGGCGGCTGGTATGTGGCCGCAGGTTGCGCCGACGCAGGCGGGGGAGGGTATGCCTGGTTGGGAGCGCCGGGTGGTGTCTGGGTTGGGGTCCCTGTCGGCCGCTGCGACGCTGTGTGAACAAGTCAGTAAGCGCAGATTATGCAAAATGAGTTGTTCTGACATACCGAGTGCGGCCAGGATACTCTGAATATCAGGTTGAGGATTTGCCATTGTGCTGCGCTGCTAGTGGAGCTGAACAGGAGCCAGCACGAGCAAGGAGCTAGTTTTTCGTCGAGGGGATGAACAAGGGAACAGTGAATAGTGAATAGCTCGATGAAATTATGAGTAATTTGGGATTGAATTGTCTTTTGGGTGATGATTCCTAGTCGCGACGAACAAATGCGACGAGTTTCGAAAGTCGGTATCGCAAAGACTTGACGGAGCCTCCGGTCACAATCTGAAGTCAGGATGAGATCGAGTCTTGTTGCGATGACCGAATACAAAGGCTTCGGGGATGTTGACAGATCGCCAATTTATGTCTCGGGTCGCGTATCAAAGCTGATGTGATCGCAGTGGGTGTAGTTAATATTGTCGCGGGCAGCGATAGGGGCGATGTCTCGAAAGCGCAGATGAGATGAAGAGGGAGAAAGGAATCTGATTTGGAAGAATCAGGTTCATACAAGAGTGGATGACCCAAGCGCGAAGGTTCGGACCTCCACTACTAAAGCAAAGTAGGTACTTTACCTACAGGGCAGTACCTGCTCGGGCTCTAGGTAGTACCTGCAGTGTAGCGTGACTTAAGGCTAAACCTCGTTGGGAACTTAAGTGACATTCCCTCTAGGCTTTGTTCTGTATTTGTGTCGTCTGCTCTTGGCAAGCAATATTTTTCTACTACCCCATCTACATTTACTGTCTGTATCCTCGATTCGGTGCGCAGCCCAGCCCTCAATGTCAAACTCTTTTACAGTAGGACTCAAGCTTTATTCGCCAGGCACCAGGCATAAGGCATATAAGCTTTCATTGTTAGGGCTCGAGGCGCAACTTGCAAACTTATATATGATCTTGCTCTGTGCATCTGTACCTCGATCAATTTCAGTTTCCATTGTGACCCAATTGTACAAATCGAAGTCATCAGACCTGGAACTAGTCCTAGAAAGGCAAGCTTGCAACAACATTTGCCGCTGAATCCACAGCGGGGGTTACTGCACGCACATTAAACTGCTTGTCTGATGGAGTGATCGGAAAAACAAGTCACCGCTTATCGCTCCAAGACTTTTCTTATCGCTGAAAAAAAGTTCTCGATTCAGTTGCTGCGAGACGATCGGTTATACAGAATATCAACCATACGCGCAAACAAGATGGATTTCGCCGGCAGCAAGAAACGCAAGTTCAAGGACGCCAATGGCGTCAAGTCTTCAAAGGAGAAGAAGTCTGTTATCGTTCCCGAAAAGAAATCAAAGAAAGTCAAGCGCGCCGAACCCGAGCCCCGCGAAGAGCCCGAAGACGATTCTTCCAACGAGGAGGAGGCTCTGGAGGAGGACGGAGACGAGAGCGACGAGGCAGATGAGCATGCTGAAGACTCCAAGTCCGGAGACGAAAATGAAGAGGAGGATACCGAGGACAACACAGATCTGCCCGATGGCGGAAACCTCACATTACCTCCAGTTGCTGGAGCTGAGTCGCAATCCTTCGCGGAGCTGAATCTTTCCGAGAAGACCATGAAGGCCATCAATGAGATGAAGTTCACCAAGATGACTGAGATCCAGAGGAGAGGTATTCCTCCCTCGCTGGCTGGTCGCGATGTTCTTGGTGCTGCCAAGACTGGTTCTGGAAAGACTCTAGCCTTCCTTATTCCCGTCATTGAGATGTTGAGCTCTCTGCGATTCAAACCTCGCAATGGTACTGGTGTCATTGTTGTTTCCCCAACCCGCGAGCTGGCTCTCCAGATCTTTGGTGTTGCCCGTGAACTCATGGCTCACCACTCACAAACTTATGGTATTGTCATCGGAGGCGCAAACCGTCGCGCTGAGGCCGACAAGCTCGCCAAGGGCGTTAACCTGCTCATTGCCACCCCTGGTCGTCTGCTCGACCATCTGCAAAACACACCTTTCGTTTTCAAGAACCTGAAGTCCCTTGTTATCGATGAGGCGGATCGAATTCTCGAAATTGGTTTCGAGGATGAAATGCGACAGATTATCAAGATCCTCCCTAAGGAGGACCGACAGACAATGCTTTTCTCTGCTACCCAAACAACCAAGGTTGAGGATCTTGCCCGTATCTCGCTACGTCCTGGTCCTCTGTACATCAACGTCGATGAAGAGAAGCAATACAGCACTGTGGAGGGCCTGGAGCAGGGTTATGTTATCTGCGATGCCGAGAAGCGATTCAATCTTCTCTTCTCATTCCTCAAGCGTAACCTCAAGAAGAAGATCATTGTCTTCTTCAGTAGTTGTGCTTGTGTGAAATACCATGCCGAACTCCTCAACTATATCGATATTCCTGTTCTTGATCTCCACGGCAAACAGAAGCAGCAGAAGCGAACTAACACCTTTTTCGAGTTCTGTAATGCCAAGCAGGGCACTCTGATCTGCACTGACGTTGCCGCTCGTGGTCTCGATGTATGTATCAAATCTGAATTACTCCATGGACAATTTACTAACCTGTAATAGATTCCTTCCGTTGACTGGATTGTCCAATTCGATCCTCCGGATGACCCCCGCGACTACATTCACCGCGTCGGTCGAACTGCGCGAGGCAGTAACAGCAAAGGACGATCTCTTCTGATCCTTCAGCCTAACGAGGTTGGCTTTTTGTCGCACCTCAAGGCCGCCCGTGTTCCCGTCGTAGAGTATGACTTCCCCAAGATCATCAACATTCAGTCTCAACTCGAGAAGCTCATCAGTTCAAACTACTACTTGAACAAGAGTGCCAAGGATGGTTACCGCAGCTATCTTCACGCCTACGCCTCTCACTCGCTGCGCAGTGTTTTTGATATCAATAAGCTCGATCTGGCCAAGGTCGCCAAAAGCTTTGGCTTCACAGTACCACCGCGTGTTGATATCACCCTCGGTGCTAGCATGAGTAGGGACAAGAAGCATCAGGGACGCAGAGCATACGGTAGTCAGCCACGACAGGGCCAGGGTAACAAGTTCACCAGGTAGAACGGTACGGGAAGTGATAGAAGAAGTAGTGGTCAGTCAAATTGACTGTCGGTGTATATGGGAGGCCTTCAGCACGGCGTTAGGTTTTGCAAAATGTAATGATGGTACCAAGCTACGGCAGGATCATAGACAGACCTTTTTGTTTCCAATCTTTTGCCAGGTGAATCTTGAGACATTCCCTGAGGCGCAAGAAAACTTGTGACATTAAACCAAGGTGCCAAAATTATTTAATCCAAGGTCTACTACTCCGTAAACCTAGCCTAAATTATGCTGGGTTTACCAGTAGATTTTTGACACTTAGAAAAGAGATCCCAGGTTTTGTCGCCTCCCCTTGCATCTCAGTAGAGATTGTGTAATTCTTGGTCATGTCAACTTTGCTTCCAAGCCATGTCTTACAGACAGGCACCCCCATGAAGTGGTGACGAATCGAGTAGCATCTCACAGTCGAGCCCAGATTATCAGCTGTAGATTCCATAGAGCTTTCAATCTTGATTTAGCAGGGATCAAACGGGCTCCGAACTGATACCAGTTGGAGGCGGAAAGGCCGGATGGGAATCCATCTGTTTTTCGGTGCTGAAGCCTTTCCAATTGTTCTGCCATCTCTTACAATGCTCTCGTCAGATATATGCCGAGGGCAATTTGATTCACCAATGAAACTGGCTGTGTTTAATAGGATGACGGATATTCAGGAACCCGCGGACCGAGGATCGATCGACAATGTCATTCAGGGACGTTGCAGCGAGGTCTTTGAGTTTTCAAGGTGCTTAATCAAGCCATCAAGTGTAGCATTGCCCACCAACGGTCCAACACCAGGCCAGAAGTGAAATGCCTCATACGATTTAACGTTGTTTGCTTTACCCGTCTAGTCTGAGTCTCGGCCCCAAACAAATAGTTAGACCTCGTATTGAACCGGAACTGGGGGGTCTCGGCATGCTCCAAGTGCAGCATCTACCACACCCACGCCGCCGCCATTGGTCAAAGCCGCGTCACGAGCTTCATTCCCTTCTCCCTTTGGGGACTGAGTCCGCGTCATGTCCTTTTAAGCTGTTGAGGCTCAGTTGCTTCCATTCTTCTTTAACTACCTTGCCTTACCTAGACATCACATAACTACCTTACCTATTCGTGTGTCCCAATTTCTGTTTGCTTGTCAAAATCTCACACAACCTTAATAAACGTTGACTGACTCTAAGTCGAACTAACGGAGCTGAGCCGAAGCTGAACGGAAGCTGACCTGACGGCGTAACCACCCTCGCAACAATCTGGCGCATTTAAACAACAGTTGTCCTCTGCGATTGACTCACAATTTATCCCTCTTTCATTGGATTTGAAGAGCAACAAAAGGCAGAAGCCTGGCATGATCTCGAGTCCGACATACCATCTCATCCAACTCTCAACATTACAGAACTAAACAATTCACCACGAAACTCAACAGCATCCCAGAGAAGAGACAAAATCTCAACCGAAGAACATAAAATGTGTACCAAGACGTTAATCGAGCACAAGTGCGGACATCGTGTTCTGCGTGGCAACACAAGATGTTATAGAGAGGATTGTCCAGGGAGAAAAGAAGATATCACCAAAGTTGACGACGAATGCGCGCAGTGTGAAAACAAGCCCGGCCGATACAAGTCATCTCGATGGTGCTCTGTTGGCTGCTGCGTTTGCCAATGAAGGGAGGGAGGGAGGATCGAGAGAAAACGGTTGGATATTGCGGCACAAAACGGGTTTGAATTTGGAGCCTGGAGTATGGAGAGGCTATTTTCTTGGAAAATCAGTTACTTGGAGTTTATGGGGATTTTGGATTTACTCTTTACGACCAGGGGAATTCTACATATTGCATTATGAAGGTATTCTAGCATGTTTCTATGAGGTTGTTCATGTAGTCATGTCCTTGGGTGGGTAATGAGTGGACGACAGATTGCGCAAGGTCTGAGACATTAGGCTCAATTGACTTTCTTTTTTAAAAAACAAATATTTGAATTGAATACTGGCACAGATCATGCAACTAAGTTAAACAGATATTACATACGAGACTGACGTCCAGAGTCACTGTCAAAACTGGCAAGTGGGCTCACAGAAACGGGATGGAACTGAACTGGATTGGATGGCTGTCAATTAAGAATTGCCCTGGGCTTGAGGTGGGCAGCCCATGGCGGATGTGCAGTCAAGCCCCGCCGTTGACGGCTTGAGAGCCCGGGTATTTGAGTGGACGACAGGGATACAGGGGCGCAGTTTACAGGGTCCGTCAGTTCTCCAGCTTCCAAGTCGAGAATCTAGAGCGGGCTCACAAGGACCTACAGCAAGCAGACTCAGCGAAGCTGTCAATCCTTTGCTCTAACTAGGTAGCGGTTCATCGGCCCCAACACCAACCCCCAATCCCAATCCCCTCCAGCAGGAACTACACCCCAGGGATAACTACTGTATGTATTCGTCGATTAAACAAGGAAAGGCCCATCTGATCCACCGTTGAACCCGTCCGTCGCATTGTTTACTCGGCGTCATGCCCGTCGCCAGCTAAATAAATACCCAAGGTACGTACACACTTGCCATGAGGTCGGGGCACCTCCACTTTCAAGCTTCCCCATCCCGCATTCCGCAATCATCACGACCTACCATCTTCCAACTACCACTACCTACCTACACACAACACAGCATTAAGACAGACCCATCCTACCTTGCCTTAGGTACTCAATTCAGACCGCAGACTAAGGTACCTACCTAATACTACTTCTTTCCACTTCTCCTCGTGTTCGCATCTTTCTGCGCCTTCCCGTTGCTTGTGCTACCTGTCTTCCCGTTACTTGCGCATGTTTCAGTAAGCTAAGTTGGTACTTAGCTATTCAAGTCATGGCTAAGAAGGCACGCCAGAGAATCAGTTATGGTGAGGCTTCATCCCCAACAACCCTGCTCGTTGGACTATGCTCTCTTGTATGCGCTCAGCTTCGACACAGTTGCTAACACAGTTATAGTCCTCGAAAATGCCAAATCATCTGAAGGCGGCCATCGTCTAGGTGTCAATGGCCTCGCCGTCGACAACGACAATGCGATTCTGTGAGCCCTTCCACACCGACATCTTCGGTCCGATCCGTGTAGCTCTAACATCACCTTCCTCAGATACTCAGGTGGCCGAGATGGCATAGTATGCGCTTGGGATCTGAACCTCGACCTCAAAGGCCGCAGCGATGTTATTGACCCGACACCTGCCAATTCCGAAGACAAGAAGCCGAAGCACACGACCAAGTTTCGCGCCCAGACCCATGCCCATATGCACTGGATCAACGACATTGCCCTCGCCCAAAACAATACTGCCCTCGTATCTGGCTCATCTGACCTTACTGTAAAAGTCTGGCGACCGTATTCCGAAGAGGACAAAAACCGCACCGAGACGATAGGCGAACATGCTGATTATGTCAAATGTGTTACAACCCCACCGCCAAATATGGGCGCAAACTGGGTCGCGTCTGGTGGTCTAGACCGCAAAATATGCTTATGGGATCTCAATGGCGCTGGTAAAACACTCGAGATTGACGTGCAGGGTGAAGAAATTGCAGAGAAAGGTTCTGTCTATGCTCTTCGTGTGGGGAGAAATATCATGGCGAGTGGTGGTCCTGAGAAGACGGTGCGCTTGTACGATCCCCGAACTGGTGACAAGGTTTCAAAGCTTGTTGGTCATGTCGACAATATCCGCGCTATTCTTATAGACGATGCTGGCGACACGATTTTGAGTGCCAGTGCCGACAAAACGGTCAAAATGTGGAGCATCAAGAACGGTCGATGTATGTACACCTTCTCCATGCACGACGAGAGTGTTTGGTCACTGTTCTCAGATGACCCGAGCCTGGGTGTATTCTACAGTTCTGATCGCTCGGGGTTGGTCGCCAAGACAGATGTGCGTGGTAGCCTTGAGGATATGGACGATGGCCTGAGTCTAGCTGTGGCGCATGAGCATATAGGAGTGGGCAAGGTTGTCGCAGCTGGAGGTCACATCTGGACAGCAACCAATAGGTCATCAATCAATCGATGGGAAGATGTTGACACGGGCAACAACATCCAGCTTCCGGAGTCTGTTCGACACCACAGAGCTACATCCAATGCTTCTAGCAGACCCCGCGAGAGTTCTCCTCCGGCTACTACTAACGGAACTACAAAGAAGGAGATCCCAGCTGAGTCCATCTTGCGTATATCTGCAGCTGCTTCCTTCCCTGCGCGATCTGGTCCAGATCCCGATTCTACAACTATCACGGATGCTACGGCACGGAAGGGGTCCGAAGCCATTATAGATTCTTCGGAGCCTGAAATCAAACCCATCCATGCAGTGGCTGAGGAAACGATTGAGGGACAATTCGGATTGCTCAAACATAGGCTACTCAATGATCGGAGACGTGTGTTGACGTCAGACACAGCTGGCGACGTATTACTATGGGATTTGATCCAGGTTTGTCTGACATGTTCTGAGCATGGATACAGCTGACCTTTTCAGTGCAAACCCATTAAAAGCTTTGGCAAACAGCATTTGGAGGATGTGGAGCATCTCGTCAACACTGTTGAGGCCGTGGCCCCTTGGTGCTCTATCGATCTCAGCTCGGGAAATCTTACTGTGGTTCTAGAGCCCTTCAATTGTTTCGATGCTGAAGTATATGCAGACGAGCTAGATTTGCCGGATAGCATAGAGTTTCGAGAGGACCAGAGAAGTAAGTCTGCTTTTGACGACTGCAAGGACGCAGCTAACCCTCTTCCAGTCAGTCTTGGGAAATGGATCCTTCGGTATCTCTTTGCCGATCTCATCGATGAGGAGATCAGAAGAGATGAGGCACACCGTCAGAAACTCAATGAGGGTCTTGAGGCGAGGCAGATTGCCAGTGGAGGAACTACTGAAGCTGCTCCATTATCGATATCATTACCAAAGTCAGCCATCCCGGACTGGGATAATGCAGACCAGGTTACTCCAAAGCCCAATCTCTATCCCAATACTCCAGGTCTAGGCATTGGTTTGGCAACAC